GTGATATTTGTTTAAAGTTCTCCCGTTCTTCTTTAATTGCTTTTGTCTACGCATGATGCTCCCGGTCCGCGAGCCCTGGACCCGGATGCGCGGGAGAACCCGACGTGGGACGGAGGCTGGCGTCGCAGCGCGTCAGCGATTGGCCGTTCATCCCTGCGCTTCCACCAATCCGCGGATGACACCTGTGACAGCGGGGATTGAAAAGGGACCATCTTCCGCCTGCTCGGGGCGGCTGGATCACTGAGCCAACTCGCCACTTTTGTTTGATGTTGGGTTGTCTCTTTGTGTTATATTGCCGGCTGTTGCCTCGTTTAGTTCGTGAGACACCTTTGTTTTTGTTCGCAGTACATCTTGAGTAGATTTGGTACCTTGTATCTAGTTAGGGCTCTCCTCCTATTTATTTTTCACCTTAATTGCCTGTTTTTTGTTTGTCTTCCCTTACACTGTAAATAATAAATGCACAATTTTTAGTTAAACCTTTAACATCCTGGTTTTCTTGTTACTTCCCTTTCTCCCCGAGCAAAGGGGACGTAACATTGTTTGATATATTTTCAGCTTAAATAAACATTTATCAAATAAACTGAAGATAGATTTATAAAAAATATTGATATATGTGCCAAAATGTTGAAAATGACAAAGATGGTCTTGATTTGGTCTTGATGGGCTGTGGTTTTGGTCTTTCCTGGTCTCAGGACCCTGTGGTCTTGGACAGGTTTTGGTCTTGTCCTGGTCTCAGGACCCTGTGGTCTTGGACAGGTTTTGGTCTTGTCCTGGTCTCAGGACCCTGTGGTCTTGGACAGGTTTTGGTCTTGTCCTGGTCTCGGGACCCTGTGGTCTTGGACAGGTTTTGGTCTTGACCTGGTCTCAGGGCCCTGTGGTCTTGGACAGGTTTTGGTCTTGACCTGGTCTTGTCTGGTCTCAGGACCCTGTGGTCTTGGACAGGTTTTGGTCTTGATCAGTGCACAACACCAGCACAGATACCAACAGAACATGCGTCATGAGTCATTGTGAGTAAATGTGCGGAGAGAATGGGGCATGTAGTCAGACTTTTTCTTTCTTTCAGATGTTTATTTTGAAGAATCTCAAATATATAAATCTAGTCCTTGCTGCTGTCGTCCTACAGAAGAGCCATTGTGACAAAAACGCTGTTAGACTTTTTCACTGCTCACAGACAATTTTATTTAGAGTTGAGGTTCTTCCACTTTCCAAGGAACAGTTATAAACAGAATTTTAAATATTGTAGTGACTTCATAGAGCTGATTTACTTTTAGCACAGAGGGATAATATCTCGATGATCGACTTTGTCGTCGTGTCATCTGATCTCCGGCCGCGTGTCTTGGACACTGGGGTGAAGAGCGGCTGAGCTGTGGAGTCCACCTGGTTGTGAGTTGATTCGCTGGCAGAGGAGGAAGCCGGAAAGACCTGGCAGACCCAAGTGTGTAGTGAGGCTCTGTTGGAAACGTCTGGCGGAGCCTCTGTCAGAGGGACTTTCAACTCGCACCTCCAGGAGGACTTCTCCCAGATTCCGGGGGAGGCTGGAGACATGGAGTCCGAGTGGGCTTCGTTCTCGGCCTCTATTGTCAATGTGGCCACTCGTCTGTGGGCGTCGGGTCTGTGGTGCCTGTCGTGGATAATCCCCGAACCTGGTGGTGGACACCGGAAGTAAGGGATGAGTCAAGCTGAAGAAGGAGTCCTATCAGGTCTTGTTGGCTCGTGGGACTCCTGAGGCAGCTGATGGTACTGACGGGCCAATCGTGCTGCAGCTCGTGTGGTCGCGGAGGCAAAACTCGGAGCTGGGAGGAGTTCGGGGAGAACATGGAGGAGGACTATCGGACGACCTCAAAGAGATTCTGTCAAACCGTCCGGCGCCTCAGGAGGGAAGCAGTTCTTCACCAACACTGTTTACAGTGCGGGGGGAGAACTGTTCACCTCGACTGGGGACGTTGTCCAGTGGTGGAAGGAAAACTTTGAGGATCTCCTCAATCCCACCGTCACGTCTTCAGAGGAGGAAACCGAGGCTGGAGACTCGGAGGTGGACTCGTACATCACCCTGAAGTCACTGAGGTGGTTAAAGTTCCTCGGTGGTTCTGGGGGTGGATGATCTTCCCTGAGGATCTTAAGTCTCTGGTTGTGGGTCTTGTCTGACTCGTCTCTGCAGCGTCATGTGGCGGTCGGGGACAGAACCTCTGGACCTTCAGACCGGGGTGATGGTCCCTCTGTATAAGAAGGTGGACCGGAGGGTGTGTTCCAACTCCAGGAGAATCACAGTCCTCAGTCTCTCCGGTCTGTGTCAGGGACTGGAGAGGAGAATCCGGCCGATAGTCGAACCTCAGATCCAGGAGGAGCAGTGTGGTTTTGGTCCTGGTCGTGGACACTGGACCAGATCTACACTCTCCATCGGTGCTCGAGGTTCATGGGAGTTTGCCCAACCAGTCCACATGTGTTTTGTGGATCTGGAGAAGACGTTCACCCGTGTCCCTCGTGGTGTCCTGTGGGGGGCGCTCTGGGAGTCTGGGGTCCAGTCCCTGTATGAACGGAGCAGGAGCTGTGTTCATTGCCACAGTGAGTCAGACCTGCTCCCGGTGCATGTTGGACTCTGCCAGGGCCGCACCTGTCACCGGTTCGGTTCATTGTTTTTGTGGACAGAGTTTCTGGGGCAGTCATGGGCCGGAGGGGGTCCGGTTTGGGGACCACAGGATCATCTCTGCTTGGAGAGGAGCGTCTGAGGGGAGGACGTCTGTTCTGATGTCTCCTGGACGTGTCCCTCAGGAGGTGTTCATGTTCCACCAGGAGGAGGAGGAGACCCAGGACACACTGGAGGGACCATGTCTCTGGACTGGACTGGGAACACCTCAGGTCTCACTGGAGGAGCTGGAGGAAGTGTCTGGGGAGTGGGAAGTCTGGGAGTCTCTGTTCAGACTGAAGCTCCGAGACCCGACCCCAGAGAAGAAGAAGAACATGGATGGATGGATCTCCAAACATGCATTAATCTACAGAACCTGTGTCAGTGTTGGGTGAATTTTAGGTGATTCCTTCTGTTTTCAACTGGGACCAAGTTCATTTGAACCTGAAACACATATGACCTTTTACAGTGTTTGTGATGCAGTATTGAGTTACTACGTTGTCTTACTGCTGATTTACTTTCTGTCTGTTAAAAGGGAATTTAGGTTTTATGTGAACTTTAAAAATATCTACACAAACACTAAGAAGATCTGAAGAAACATCTGCAGCATGAAACTTATATCCACCCAAAAGCCTCCAGTCTCCAGTGCAGCGTTTCAAGTGTCTCAAAGCCAAAGTGCGTCAGAATAAATCCACATCCAGTCACAGCCTGCAGTGTCCACGTCAAATTTAAACAGAAAATATGAACCAAAACTCTGCCAAAATCCTGCTGCTCATTGGTAAATATCTCCAGCGTGGAGGAAAGATCCAGACGAGTCTGTGGAAAGTTCTCCAGATTTCTCCACCACTGAGGGAACCGCGGAGTAAAATCATAAAGTTCTTCATCAAAAGAAGAGCCCGTGTGTCATGTGCTGCCTTTGATATAAAGTGCTGAAGACAATGAACAAAAGTGACACTTGAGTTTCCTCCGTTCTTATTCATGAGTCTAGATTTGTGTGTCTGTTTTCACCTGCCGCTCGGGCGACTCGACAGAGGAGAACTGTTCATGTGGAGCCCACCTTCCCCTGTGTTACTGTGGCAGAGTGGTTAGCCTGGTGTGTGAGTGTCTTTACCTGAGCTCTGGTCTTCTGTCAGGACCCCTGCACACACAAGAGACATGTCACATAATGTGTGTTGGACAAAGTTCCTCAGTGGAGGAGCAGCTGAATTATGAATGATTTTAAAGAAGGTGAACATTTGATTCAATTTAAAACTTATCAGAATTTAGCCATTTTTATTTGACGAGTCTTGAACATTGGTGATGCAGTCGAGACTTTTTATCATGGATTTTTAATACTCGTTTATAAAATGTCTCTGGAGCAGAAAATAAGACAAAAAAATAAAGAAATAAATGTGATTAGATTTAGAGTCATTTTACAGAAGTTTAAAAGTCGGACGGACGGTCGCACCACATGACACTTTAAAGTACAAAAAACATGCATAAAAACAAATGAGTTTTGAAAAAATGATTTGTTTCCATGGAGCTCAGAGGTGCTCCACACACACGCGGAATTATTATGAAATATGAAACTTTTAACTGAAGAAACTGCAATTGGACAGAAAATGTAGGCGTCAAGTCACTGACCCATAAACAGATTTACATTGTTTAAATGGATTTGTTTTATTTTTCTTTAGTTGTACCAAGACACATTTGGAAGAAGAAACCAAATCTGAAAGAAAATTAAGGTTCAAAGCATCAAAATGTCATTCAGTGACTCGAGTCACACGGAGAATCATAAAAATAAAAAAATCAAACTTTTTACTGTGGCGTCATTTTAAAAGACTCAACGTGAACAAATAAAACTATTTTCAAAAAGAAAAGAAGTATTTTTAGCCGATTTCATGAAAGTCTCTGTGTAAATCTGAACAATAATCTGAGATCTTTCCTGGTGTATCACGTGATGACATCACTGTGTGGACCCTGCACGACTCTGAAGTGGAAACAAGTGTCAGATTTGTTCTCTTAGTTTTTGGTGGTGACGCGTTTGTCACGAGAAGAACAAATACCACAGTTTTGGATCTCATCTGGTAAAACGTTGTAAATGTGTTCAACTGAACTGTGATCATTTTAAAAATATTCCCTGTGAAATCAGGAGTTTGTGTGAAGCTCGACACTGACGCTTTTGTTTCTCTGATGGAGAAAGTCTAAATTGTGTAAAACAAAGTGTGTGACTGGGTGAAACAGACCTGAGCCTGTCCATGGAACATGAAGATTCAGCTCCAGAAGATCCACTTTCTTTTACTGTTGGATTTGTATGATTTAACTCTTTATATTTGCTGCTATATTAAAACCATCATCATTTTTATTTGGAATGTTCAATAGTCACTGAACCCTCCCGCTCTCCTCGGGGTCACATTGACCTGAAGAAACTTTTATTTTCCTTCTCGCTCTCTTGGGGCGAGTCCATCAGACCCAAAAAATTATTGTCTCACCTGACGAGAATTGATTTGAAAATAAATTTTAGGGCCTGATGGACTCGCCCCAAGAGAGCGAGAAGGAAAATAAATGTTCTTCAGGTCAATGTGAGGCCGAGTGTGAGGGTTAAATAAAGTCAATAGTAATAATTCAGAATGTAATTGGACAGTAAATATGTTAAAGACAGTTACACACATGTTGTTCATGTGATTTTGAGATTTTATCAAGTCAGTTTTTTTGTATTTCAGAACAGCACATGTCATTAATATTACAGTGAAATGTGTCTGAAAAAGTTTGTTTTGACATAAAAAAATAGATTTTTTACATAATAAGTTAAATTTAAAGAGGGAAAGTTCTAACATGTTTAGGTTTTATCCAGTTTTGAAGTGTAGAGGTGATAGAGTTGAGATTTAATTATTAAATTCTTCAAAATTTTAAGAAAAAAAACAAAACAAAAAACTTTTTTAATGGCCGAGTGATTATTTGTAGATCTCAGTTTGTGTTTTCATCATTTTCAATAACATAATTTATTTTAAATTTAATAAAATTTTAACAATATGTTCATTGCACCAAAGGTTTTTTCAAGGGGCAAATACAAAATGATAAAATCTACACTTTAAAAACAGAAAATCTCCACATTTTGTCTCACATTATATTTTCATTTTTTGAGCTTTTGAAAACTGCAAAACATCACAGACTCATAAAAAAATTCTCTTACCTAAACTGGAGACGCAGCAGATCAGGAACAGCACTGAGAGGACCATAACCAGGACTAAAACAGGACTAAACCAGGTCTAAACCAGGTCTAAACCAGGTCTACACCAGGTCTAAACCAGGTCTACACCAGGACTAAACCAGGACTAAACCAGGTCTAAACCAGGACTAAACCAGGACTACTAAACCAGGAGGTCTAAACCAGGACTAAACCAGGTCTAAACCAGGACTAAACCAGGACTAAAACCAGGACTAAACCAGGTCTACACCAGGTCTACACCAGGTCTACACCAGGTCTAAACCAGGGCTGAACCCAGACTGAAAACGTCAGTCATTTGTCTTCTCTTCACACATTGAAAGTGCAGGAAGTGTGGGGGTGATGTTCTTCACATCCTTTGAGGTCAAAAACCAGACCTGAAACTAAGACCTGAAACTGACCTGAGACCTATACCTGAAGCTAAGTTCATTTTCACACCTCTAGTTTGATTATTTGGTGGCACCAGGCGATAAAATTCTTATTATGCAGCAGATCGAGTCCAGTGTGGAACTTTCACACCGACAAACCAAACAAAACTGGTCTGATTGTCGAGTCTCTGTTTCCCGGTAAAACAGAACCTCCAAATATCAACACTGATGTTTCCCGTTCAGACCACGAGTCGTCCTCACCTCAAGTCTCATCATCAACTCATAAAACAGAAACATGTAGAAGTTTGTACAAACTCACCACATCAGCCCAGAGCAGAAGATCTGAGCTCAGGAAACAGCAGCAGCAACAGAGATAAAGAGGAGAACTACAGGTCCGGACGAGCTGCTCCGGTCCTCCTCACTCAAGAACCTCCACTGGTTCTGAGGTGGAGCAGCGTCCGGACACAAGTGTGAGTCCAGTTTGTTGAGAGGAACCGACCCAGAGTTTGGCATCTGGTGCAGATTCAAGCGAACCAAGACCACCTCTTTTTTGAGGTCTCAGTTCGCTTGGTTTAGTCTGGATCCGAGTCCGATTGAAGTTTTCACACCAACGAAAATGGACTGAGCTAAGAACTTTTGGTTCAAATGGACCATTTGGTGCAACAGATACTGTCTGTGTGAAAACACCCTGAGACCAAGACCTGAGACCAAGACCTGAGACCAAGACCTGAGACCAAGACCTGAGACCAAGACCTGAGACCAAGACCAGAGACCAAGACCTGAGACCAAGACCAGAGACCAAGACCTGAGACCAAGACCTGAGACCAAGACCAGAGACCAAGACCTGAGACCAAGACCAGAGACCAAGACCTGAGACCAAGACCAGAGACCAAGACCTGAGAAGACCAGAGACCTAAGACCTGAGACCAAGACCAGAGACCAAGACCTGAGACCAAGACCTGAGACCAAGACCTGAGACCAAGACCTGAGACCTGAGACCAAGACCAGAGACCAAGACCTGAGACCAAGACCTGAGACCAAGACCTGAGACCAAGACCTGAGACCAAGACCTGAGACCAAGACCTGAGACCAAGACCAGAGACCAAGACCAGAGACCAAGACCTGAGACCAAGACCTGAGACCAAGACCAGAGACCAAGACCTGAGACCAAGACCTGAGACCAAGACCTGAAGACCAGAGACCAGAGACCAAGACCAGAGACCAAGACCTGAGACCAGAGACCAAGACCTGAGACCAAGACCAGAGACCAAGACCTGAGACCAAGACCAGAGACCAAGACCAGAGACCAAGACCTGAGACCAAGACCAGAGACCAAGACCTGAGACCAAGACCTGAGGGGGATCTGTTGTCACCAAACATTTGATTATATCAGGACTAAACCAGGATTAAATCAGGACTGAACCAGGATTAAATCAGGACTGAACCAGGATTAAATCAGGACTGAACCAGTCCAAAAACTCACATGTACAAGTGAAGGATGTGAAACACTTTCTTGTTTATTACATTTTTCTTGTCTTTTTTTTTTTTTGTCTAGAAAAAAAGACAGAAAATAAATAAAATCAAAGAGAGCAGCGTCTCATTGGGCCGTTCAGACAGGACCAGGGCTGTGATTGGACCGTTCAAACAGGACCAGGGCTGTGATTGGACACTTCAGATGTCACTCCACAGAACGGCCCGCCTCCTTTTATCAACACTGACGAAGTACCGCCCACTGACGCTCCAGGACACGCCCCCGAGGGAGGAGCTAGGACACAAGGACACAAGCAGAGAGGAGACATCACAGAGGACCTAGGACACCAGATCAGATTCTCGTCTAAACCGGTTACGATCCTCCTCCAGACCCCCTGTAGACCGGTTGAGATCCCGCTGGTACCTGTGCTGGTCCGTGAGTCTGGTCTGGACTTGTCCCGATGAAACGTTCCAAATATAAACGGCTCCGTCTGAAGAACCTCCAGCGACCAGAGCCCTGTCAGGACTGGACCGGAGAAGACCGGGTTTAGACCAGGTTTAGACCGGGTTCAGTCTCAAGTCCAGTCCAGGTTTAGTCCAGGTTCGGTCCAGGTTTAGTCCGGGTTCGGTCCAGGTTTAGTCCGGGTTTGGTCCAGGTTCGGTCCGGGTTTAATCCGGGTTCGTCCAGGTTTAGTCCAGGTTCGGTCCAGGTTTAGTTCGGGTTAAGTCTGGGTTTAGTCCAGGTTTAGTCCTGGTTTAGTCCTGGTTTAGTCCGGGTTTAGTCCGGGTTTGGTCCGGGTTCGGTCCAGGTTCAGTCTGGGTTTAGTCCTGGTTTAGTCCGGGTCTAGTCCGGGTTTAGTCCGGGTTTAGTCCGGGTTTAGTCCTGGTTTAGTCCGGGTTTGGTCCGGGTTCGGTCCGGGTTCAGTCCGGGTTCAGTCCGGGTTTAGTCCGGGTTTAGTCCGGGTTTAGTCCGGGTTTAGTCCGGGTTTGGTCCGGGTTCGGTCCGGGTTCAGTCCGGGTTCAGTCCGGGTTTAGTCCGGGTTTAGTCCGGGTTTAGTCCGGGTTTAGTCCGGGTTTAGTCCAGGTTGGGTCTCACCTGATCACGGCCTTGTTGCTGTCGCTGCCGCAGCTGAAGCCGTCCGCTCGGAGACAGGTGTGTGCGAAGCTCCGCCCCCTCAGGTCGAACAGGTGCAGCCCGTCGTCACGGCAACAGCCCAACAACAGCTGACAGTCCGAACTCAAGTCCAGACCCGTGACCCGGTCTGGGACCCGGAGCTCCAGAACACACGAGACCGACGACCTGCAAGACACTCCAGAGTCTAACCCACAACCACAACCTGCAAGACAGGGGAGGAGGAGGTGCAGAGGAGGAGGTGCAGAGGAGGAGGAGGAGGTGTAGAGGAGGAGGTGCAGAGGAGGAGGTGCAGAGGAGGAGGTGTAGAGGAGGAGGGTGTGGAGGAGGAGGTGCAGGAGGAGGTGCAGAGGAGGAGGTGTAGAGGAGGAGGTGCAGAGGAGGAGGTGCAGAGGAGGAGGTGGAGGAGTGGAGGAGGAGGAGAGGAGGGTAGAGGAGGAGGAGGAGGAGGTGCAGAGGAGGAGGTGCAGAGAGGAGGAGGGTAGAGGAGGAGGAGGAGGAGGAGGTGCAGAGGAGGAGGTGAGGAGGAGAGGAGGAGGTGTAGAGGAGTGTGAGGAGGAGGAGTGTAGAGGAGGAGGTGGAGGAGGTGCAGAGAGAGGAGGTGGAGAGGTGAGGAGGAGGAGGAGGTGCAGAGAGGAGGTGAGAGGAGGAGGTGCAGAGGAGAGGTGTAGAGGAGGAGAGGAGGAGGTGCAGGAGGAGGAGGTGTAGAGGAGGAGGAGGTGAGGAGGAGGAGGAGGAGGAGGAGGTGCAGAGGAGGAGGTGTAGAGGAGGAGGTGCAGAGGAGGAGGTGTAGAGGAGGAGGTGCAGAGGAGGAGGTGAGGAGAGTGCAGAGGAGGAGTAGAGGAGGAGGTGCAGGAGGTGAGAGTGAGAGGAGGAGGAGGTAGAGGAGGAGGAGGTAGAGGAGGAGGAGGAGAGGAGGAGGTGCAGAGAGGAGGAGGTGCAGAGGAGGTGAGAGGAGGAGGTGCAGAGGAGGAGGTGCAGAGGAGGAGGAGGAGTGTAGAGGAGGAGGAGGAGGTGCAGAGGAGGAGGAGTAGGGAGGAGGTGCAGAGGAGGAGGAGAGAGAGGAGGTGGAGGAGGAGGAGGAGGTAGAGGAGGAGGTGCAGAGGAGGAGGGAGAGGAGGAGGTGAGGAGGAGTGAGAGGTAGAGGCAGAGGAGGAGGTGAGGAGGAGGAGGAGGAGAGGTGTAGAGGAGGAGGTGCAGAGGAGGAGGTGGGAGGTGGAGGAGGAGGTAGGTAGAGAGGGAGTAGAGGAGGAGGTGGAGGAGGAGGTGAGGAGGAGGAGGTGCAGAGGAGGAGGTGAGGAGGAGGAGGAGGGTAGAGGAGGAGGAGGTGTAGGAGGAGGAGGAGGAGGAGGTGAGAGGAGGAGAGTGGAGGAGGAGAGAGGAGAGTGCAGGAGGAGGAGGAGGTGAGAGTAGGAGGGAGTGAGGAGGTGTAGAGGAGGAGGTGCAGAGGAGGAGGTGCAGAGGAGGAGGAGGAGGAGTGTAGAGGAGGAGGTGTAGAGGAGGAGGGGGAGAGGAGGAGGAGGAGGAGGAGGAGGTGCAGGAGGAGGAGGTGTAGAGGAGGAGGAGGAGGAGGAGGAGGTGAGGAGTAGAGGAGGAGGTGTAGAGGAGGAGGTGAGGAGGAGGTGCAGAGGAGGAGGTGCAGAGGAGGAGGTGCAGAGGAGGAGGTGTAGAGGAGGAGGAGGTGTAGAGGAGGAGGTGTAGAGGAGGAGGAGGAGGAGGAGGTGCAGAGGAGGAGGTGTAGAGGAGGAGGTAGGAGGAGGAGGGTGTGAGGAGGAGGAGGAGGAGGTGTAGAGGAGGAGGTGCAGAGGAGGAGAGGAGGAGGAGGTGCAGAGGAGGAGGTGTAGAGGAGGAGGAGGTGCAGAGGAGGAGGTGCAGAGGAGGAGGTGCAGAGGAGGACCTGAGGTCCCAGAGGCGCAGTCGTCCGTCGAAGTGTCCACTGATCACAGACGAGTCGGAGCAGACGAGGTCAGAGCAGTGAGAGCCCGCCTCCAGGACACGAGTGCCTGAAACAACCAATCAGAGAGCAGCGTGAGCCTGAGAGCCAATCAGAGAGCAGCGTCAGAGTCTGACAGCCAATCAGAGCAGAACATCTCAGACCAAACTGAAGCTCACATCTCAGGTCCAGAGAGGAGACTCAAGTATTTGTAGTACTTGTAGTACTTGTACTCACAGGCTTCTCTCTGCATATGTGTAGTACTTGTAGTACTTGTAGTACTTGTAGTACTTGTACTCACAGGCTTCTCTCTGCATATGTGTAGTACTTGTAGTACTTGTAGTACTTGTAGTAGTACTTGTAGTACTTGTAGTACTTGTACTCACAGGCTTCTCTCTGCATATGTGTAGTACTTGTAGTACTTGTAGTACTTGTAGTACTTGTACTCACAGGCTTCTCTCTGCATATGTGTAGTACTGTAGTACTTGTAGTACTTGTACTCACAGGCTTCTCTCTGCAGTACTGTGTACTGGTCTTGTAGTACAGTAGTAGTCTTGTAGTATAGTACTTGTAGTACTTGTACTTGTAGTAGGCTTCTCTCTGTATGTGTACTGTAGTACTGTAGTACTTTAGTACTTGTACTCACAGGCTTCTTGCACTTGTAGTACTTGTAGTACTTGTGTACTTGTAGTACTGTAGTATTGTAGTACTTGTACTCACAGGCTTCTCTCTGCATGTGTGTAGTACTTGTACTTGTAGTACTTGTTAGTACTTGTACTCACAGGCTTCTCTCTGCATATGTGTAGTACTTGTAGTACTTGTAGTACTTGTAGTACTTGTACTCACAGGCTTCTCTCTGCATATGTGTAGTACTTGTAGTACTTGTACTCACAGGCTTCTCTCTGCATATGTGTAGTACTTTAGTAGTAGTACTTGTAGTACTCACAGGCTTCTCTCTGCATATGTGTAGTACTTGTAGTACTTGTAGTACTTGTAGTACTTGTACTCACAGGCTTCTCTCTGCATATGTGTAGTACTTGTAGTACTTGTAGTACTTGTACTCACAGGCTTCTCTCTGCATATGTGTAGTACTTGTAGTACTTGTAGTACTTGTACTCACAGGCTTCTCTCTGCATGTGTAGTACTTGTAGTACTTGTGTACATAGGCTTCTCTCTGTGTAGTACTTGTAGTACTTGTAGTACTTGTAGTACTTGTACTTGTACTCACAGGCTTCTCTCTGCATATGTGTAGTACTTGTAGTACTTGTAGTACTTGTACTCACAGGCTTCTCTCTGCAGGTCCCACAGTCGGATGGAGCCGTCTGCACTTCCTGTCACCACCAGAGGAGGCGTCGAGCAGAAACGAGCCGCACAAACCTTCCTGCGATGTCCTGTGAGTGTGAGCTGAAGAAGAGACACGACCTGAGCCGCACGACCTGAGCCGCACGACCTGAGCCGCACGACCTGAGCCGCACGACCTGAGCCGCATGACCTGAGCCGCACGACCTGAGTCACACGACCTGAGTCACACGACCTGAGTCCAGTCTCACCTTGGGCTGGGGGTCGTCCAGTTGCCATAGTAACGCAGACTTGTCATATGATGAGGCCAAAACTCGAAACCCCTGAAAAACAAGACCAAAACCCAGACTAAGATCTGAACCAGGTTTAGACCAGGATCATAACCGGTCTAGACGAGGGTCTCACGGTTTGGTCGAAGTCGATGCAGGTCACAGACTCAGTGAATCCAAAAAGAGACGAACCGACAGAAA